TCCCTCTACCTGCCTCACTGCTTACCTTTTACTTGCCTTTTCGATCTCAGCTCAAACATCGCTTCCTCAGAAAAACCGCTCTTTCATTTTAATACCAATTTTCAAAGTAAGGAGTTTTATAGTACCTACCTCAAGTGGTGACAAGTAGTTTTTCTGGCTTTCTCTTTTTTATGAGTGTCATCATAGGCTCATGGGTTTTCATAGATTCAATGTGCATCAGTCAAGTACTATCACTGTGAAGTTCGCTATTATGTTTCATTAAATGCCCTGTCATTACTTCTGTCAGTTTGGGATTGTGCCCAATTGCAAAGAACAGAAAGCCCAACATAGGATCACTTAGCTAAACAGGACTTTTCACGGTTTTTCCTGGTCGAAATGATAATGGTAAAAGATGTTCGGTCACCATTCCAGGACTGGCACATTAGCTCTACAATGTTGTCAGGGACCCACTATCCAGTCATCCATGCTTGGATCCCTGAAGAGCCCAGCCTCTTCATCCTGATGTCTGCCCAATCCCTCATTTGACTTCAAGCCTTATGTCTCATTTCAGGCAGGAGAAAGTGGAAGAGAGAAAGGCTAAACTGAATCTGACACCTTTTCAGCAGTTCTGTCCTGAACCTTCTTCCATTTACTCCTCATTGGGCAAGACTGTGTCACATGGTCATACCTGGCTGGGAAATGCTGTTTTAGCCAGGCATGGTGTCACCTGAAACAAACACTGAGTAAGAAAGAGGGAAATAGACATGAGGTCAGCAATTGCAATATCTGCCAAAAACTGCCAACTAAGATAAAATACTAGACTGCAAGCATATGATGTTTTTTATTACTGTTTCCATTTCAAAAAAGAATACGTTCTACAATAATGGGGGAACAAGAGCCGTGCACAAAGATGGGGAACAATAGCTAGACAATTTGGACCACAGAGATCACCTGCTTCAACAGCTAAGCAGTGTATGTGCAAAAGTCCTATAACAGCTTTAGTTCTGTTTTCCTTTCCATTGGTTATCACAGCTCTAAAATTACAGTCACACTGGGTGCATTGGATCATGCTTGTAATCCCAATATTTTGGGAGGCCAAAGCAGGAAGATTGCTTGAGCCAGGAGTTTGAGATTAGCCTGGGCAACACAGTGAGACCTCATCTCTACAAAAAATTAAAATTAAAAAATTAGCCAGGCATGATGGCACACACCTGAGGTCCCAGTGACTTAGGAGCCTGAGGCAGAAAGATCGCCTGAGCCCAGGAGGTGGATGCTGCAGTGAGCCCTGATCATGCCACTGCACTCCAGCCTGAGTGACAGAGTGAGACTCCAACTCAAAAATAAATAAATAAATAAAATTACAGTCACAAGAGGAAACATCACCATTAGTGCTACAGCATTGCCAAGGTTAACTCACAGATTGAAGATCAACTCGAAGACATATTGAGGGCAGAAAAAAATATTTTCCCAAACCGACCAGGCCCCCTTATGTCACTTTAATTCAGGAGAAATGAATCCTACAGCAGCTTGGAAAAAATGGTGATGTTTCTTTGTTATCAACTTCAGAGAAGAGTGTTTGCTTGTCTGAATAAAACACAAACGATTTAAATCTTCCCTCTGAGGGCCACCCCTTCTGGGAAACTTCACTCTGCGGAATACTCAGTGACTGAACTGAATGAGAGCTGGACTGATGTCCCCACACAAGGCCTCTGAGAGGGACTCAGCAAGGAAGATGGGCAATGTATCCCTGTGAAAAAAGTTAACAATAGGCCTTTTCTTGCATTTTTAGCAGATCTCATCCTGTCATCTCCTGCCCCAGATTTAAAATCTAGATGATGAAAACAATGGCTGCTCCCAAATCTTGTTATTGATTGAATAAGATGGAGTTTCCTTTCATATGGGCCATTCTTAGACATGCTTCTTCTCTCCTAGGCTCCCAGTTTCTGGACGGTTTGGGAAGGGGTGTTGTTGCAGGGAGCCAAGGCTTCCAGTGAAATATGTTTGGGAAGAGGAGCAAGAGTAACTCAGATATCCAGAGACTGTGATTAATGTTTCTTTATTACTTGTCATCTTTCAAATACTTTACAAACATTAAGCCTGTGTCTGGGGGGGGCAGGGCAGTTGAGGGAGATGGAAAAATGTCACAATTGTGTACATAGCTAAAACCAAAACATGCTTTCATCCCAGCAGTCTGACTATTCCCGGCAGAGGCACTTGTGACCTGAATTACCCAGCCAATAGTCCTCACTCGACGCTTCTCTCTCCATTTGTAGACAACCCAACCTGAGTTATCTCAGCCATCCTGCTGGGAAGGTACAAGGCTCTCCTTAGCACCTGCTCTGCTTTACATTCAGGGTCATTGAGCCATAGAGCATTTTAGGGATTTGCTTGGTCTGAGGCTAAGCCAGAATCATTCTGTGGTGGTAGATTTGCTACCAGTAGAAATTCAAGAGTCACATCAAGAAATCAGTCAGATTTGGTGTCTGTTTTTTCAGCTATCTAAGCACAATGTTAAATAGTAGCAAAAATAGTTGTCCTAGTTCTTCTTCTAAAATATTAAGTTTTAGTAGTAGAAAGAGTACTTTATCCCAAGGGAAAGGAAAGAGAACTCCATTTTAAACCCAGTGAAAATGTGTCTCAGTTGCTGCAATGAAGTTAGGGCTTGATTTACAGGGATCCCTAATGCAATTGAGAAGCATATTTTGAGCCCCTGCTGAGACATATATTTCTAAATCTTGTATAAGAAATTATCCATAAGAAGCCAGTTGTCCTCCCTAACACTATTGGAGAAGTTTTAGTGTTGGGGATTCAGGGAGAAAAGCAAGGAAACAATTGTGTTCAGTTGTCTCCACTTTGGGATGTGGTAGAAAAGTATTGTTTTGAGGAAAGACTTAGCATGCTCTCTCTCTCTCTCTCTCTCTCTCTCTCTGTCTCCTATCTCTCTTTCTCTCTTTCTCTCTCTCTCTCTCTCTGTGTGTGTGTGTGTGTGTGTGTGTGTGTGTGTATTGAACTCAATAATGCATTTGGCTTCTGTTGCATTGTGTAATGCCTCAAAATGTCAGGGCAACTCCCTCCACCAGGATGTGCCAGGAGACAAAAATCATGGAAGAGAGATGAACAGAGACACTGCCCCTGGCCACATCTCCTGAGCAAAAAGGAAGGGCAAGCAAATACATGCTGTGGAGCAGCCAGCTTTCCCTGTTTTAAAGAGAAAGCCGATGAGGTCCCTCTATCTCCACCGTCCCCTTGGCTTCTTTGAACATTTACAAAAGTGATCTCTGTACCAGTGAGTTTATTTCTCAGGTCTATTTCTGTTTAAAGAGATATATAAAAATCCATTCCCTCGGGTTAGCTTTCTAAGAAGATAAGTATCTGCTGCTGTGTGTGTTTCATCCTCGGGCCACTCTTGACCTTGGGTGCTCAGAGTCATGAATGTTTTGATACCAGATGTAACCCTCTGGCTGGGTCAGAGGCACTGCGGTGGGGGGTAGGGAGTGTGTGTGGAGACAATGTGCTGTAATATACACTCCCAAACCCCAAAACATGCCCAAGAATAACAAAAACATTAACCACTGACCCTAACGCTGCAGAAATTCTATCTCCTCCTCTCCCTTCACCAGTAAACATAAAAACACCATCCCTGAAGGCTGTAGAAACCTCCAATGAGAGGTCCAGAGAGCAGGAGAGGAGGAGAAAATGGGCTGGTTTGGGAAAGGAGTCCAGTAGCTTCCACATCACTAGAAAAACTTTCCCCCAGTGACAGTTAAATAGAGACGTTTTTCACTAGCTAGAAAAACAGTGTCCTTGCACTTTTCGGAATCAAGGCAAGTTTCAGAATGCCTTTTTGACACCTTTTCTTTGGCTCCCCATCTTTTCCTCATCTCATGCAGTTCTTCCCTTCTTTGCTCTACACCAGCTTCGCTGGCCATTCTGTTTCTCTAGTTAGCCAAATCTATTCCCTCCCTAGGACTTGGGTGTTTCCTTTGCTGTTCCTTTTGCTAGAATGTCCCTCCCTAGACCATTGCAGGGGGGCCTCCTTCTTTTATTCACATCTTGCCTCATATGTCACCCTCTCAGAGATGTTATTCCTGGTCACATATCTAAGGCCCTCCCTAGCCACTCTCTACCATCTTCTTTCCTTCTTCATGGTCACTACTTTCTGATCTGACCTTATTTATTTACCTCTGTATTTATTGTCTATCCCCTCCCACCTAGATGTATACTCCAAAATAATAGGTCCCATGTCTGTCTTGTTTGCTGTTGTATCTCCTGTGCTGAGCATGTGGCTGTTATTTGTTGATTGGATGAATAGATGGGTGGGTGGATAGAGGGATGGATGGATGAATGAACAGAAGGATGGATGAACGGATAGTTGAACTGACAGACGTGGGCGGGTAGGTAGATAGATGAATAGATAGATGGATTGGTGGATGTATAGACAGAAGGATGGATGGATGGATGCATGGATGGATGGACGGATGGATGGACGGATGGAGGGATATATGAATGAATGGATGAATTGGTGGACAAATGGACAGACAAATGGATGTATAAATATAATCAATGATCTGACTCAAGTATTTTATCCAGCTTGGTCAGATATTTTGCTCCATTAACCACTGACCCAAACACTGCAGAAATCAACTCTGTATATTAAGGATGTAACTAAAGCTAGGGTAGCACTTGAATCTGTGAGAAGGAAAACATAATTTTTACCTTTTCTTCTTCAAAATGGCATCTTCATTTCAATGTGCTTTGCTCCTTAATAAATAGTGCATATCTCATTAACCCTCAGAAAATTCCCAAGTTGCAGGATAAGAGAAGTTTTCTGATAAGTTGACTTTTAAAAGAGGGAGAAACTAAACCATGGGTAACAAAGTGAGTTGGGAATACCATGCTGGCTTAATTCCAGTCACTGGAATTGTCCTCACTCCTGAATTTAATGGACTGTGAAGGATAGCATTCTTAAATCATATCTTTCCTTAACATGTGTTTGTTGGATTGTCTGTTGTTTTAGAATAACCTCAACATGGAAAGTGACTCCATATCAGAAACCAGCTTTTCTCTCTCCAAAGAAGCACCAGGGGAGCATCTGGACCACCAGGCTGCACATCAACCCTTCCCCAGACAGCGATTCCGACAAGAGACTGGACACCCTTCATTGCAAAGAGATGGCCCCAGATCCTTTCTCCTTGATCTACCAAACTTCCCAGATCTTTCCAAAGCTGATATCAATGGGCAGAATCCAAATATACAGGTAATTCTTAGAAGCTGGATAGTGGAAGATAATGAAACAGTCCATCTTTTGTTTCCTGATCTGATTCCAGTGAAAACTACTGCTTTACCTCACTTTTCTTCCTAATCCCTTAATGATTCCTGCTTATGATCATGTGCTCTCCATTAGAACAATGTTGCATTTCATCTATGCAACACCCTTGATTGTGAGAGGTCCCATGATATTATGAACCACTCAAAATAAAAAAGCACTGCTAAAGTATGGCACACCAAGGATGATAAGATACCTCTGATTTCAGAGGAAATGGAATATAAAAACAAAACAGTAAGCCTGATAATTGATGAAAGGACCAATCTGACATGTGAATAGACTAGACAAACCTTAATATGATTTCAAAGCACTTGAAAGTTACTTTTTCTTAATGACTCTCTAACTTGCCTTGGACACCAGAAACTTCTTCAGGAAGTGACAAGTTCCACTTACTCTAAGGTGCAAATGTGTGATAAACAAAAAAAGTGATAAGTAGAAAGGTAAAACAGAATTTCCTAGGGGAGAGATGAGCTCTAGGATGGGAATGTGTGATGCAGAGTGAGATGGAGTTTAGGGAAAGGGTACCTTGGATTGAAAATAATAACTATCATCCATTGTACAATAGCTCAGTATACTTTACAAAGCAAACGTTCGTCTGATTTGACCCTCCCAACACTCTCAGGAGGGAGACAAAGCACATGTCATTTTCCCAATACTATAAATAATGGAATGTACTTTGAACGTTACTTTTTGGTTTATCTAAGATCACATGACTAGTAAACAGTAGCTGCGGGGCTCAAAGCCAGTCTCCCCAAAATACTCACCCCACCAACCTGTGTTTCAGAGACACACTCCTAATTTTGAATGTTGCTTATACCTCCCTCACTTCTTCCCAAATTGTCCCCATGATGCCTAAGAGAAGCTTGCCCCCTGGGCAATCTAGTCCCTACCCAGTTCCTGTCCTCATATGCCTGCTTTCGTACTTTAAAGCTTTGTTCTCAATTCTTTTCATTTGTATAGGGGCAGCTGTTCCTTATTCTTTCTTCTCTGTACCAAATGTCAGTTAGTTCACATAGCAGAAATTCATTGAACTTGGCCTCAAAGCAATTGATCCTTAATTAAGTTCACTGTCTCCCTCTACCCAGACAGACACCCTCTGCATTATACAATTTTAGGTCAGGCTCCCTTGTCTAGAATTGGTTTGCTCATAACACCAGTGACATGGTAGCTGACAACTGTCCCTGAGAACACAGCTTAATTAGAATACATTGACTAAGGCCAAGGTGGGTGGATTGCTTGAGCCCAGGAGTTCAAGACCAGCCTGCACAACATAGTGAAACCATGTCTCTACGAGAGAGAGAGAAATTAGCCAGACGTGGTGGCACATACCTATAGTCCCAGCTACTGGGGAGACTGATGTGGAAGGATCACCTGAGCCCTGGAGGTCAAGATTGCTGTGAACCATGATTATCATGATTGTGCCATTACATTCCAGCCTGAGCAACAGAGTAAGACTCCAACTCAACAGCAATGCCAAAAAAGAATGCATCAGCCAGCCACTGCTGTGTATAAAACCCTGCGTTAGGTTATGGGGAATTGAGAAATGAAAGGCCTGGAAAAGACACTTGTGCCATGTGAAGATCCTAGCTATCACTTAAGGCAGTGCAGGAGAGATCATGAAGACAGGAAGAAAAGCACCATGTGGTCTGTTCTCAGTAGGTGGGGAAGTCAGCTGGGCTCTGTGGATGGTCCAGAAATGAGAAGTGTTGTGGAAGTCACTCTTTGAAAGCCCATGTGCAGAAATCACTGCATGCCCCAGTTAACATTTTCTGGTGAGTCTTGTATTGTTCTAATCGATTAATTAGAAAAGCAGAGCTTTGGCGCCAATGACCCCTCTCTAGGAGCTAGCCACATGGCTCTGATGGAGTACAGTGGATCCACTTGAGAGAGGTGAAGATTGTCCAAAATAGGCAGAGACATCTCCACACCATTGCTGTACATTGTCCCTTATCATGACTTCTACATGTTTATAGATTTTATGGTTTCAGGACCAGACAGCCATCATCCCAAGGTGTGTAGGCCGTGTCCAAAACCATCTTAAGCTTACTGTGGCTAGTATATTTTTTTCCCAGAGGAGGGAATTCATGCTGAGGACTGAGCTATGATTAGTCTAATAGATTTAGGAATTACTAATGTAAAGTCACAGGAAGATGCCCTGATGTAGAGGAATGGGAGGCTGCCCGGGGAGTATTCTCTAGATAGAAAGTTACTTGGTGCCTCATGATTGACCTAAGAATGCAGTTTCAGTCAGAATTTCTTGAGACCCACTTTCTCTCTCCCAGAGAAAGGGGATCAGTCTAGAAAGGCCCATTCCCTACCCTGAACCCACTTGAGTCTTTCAAAAATATAGCTTAAATGTTAGAGAAGAACAGTGCTACAAAGGCATTTGAGATTCACCTAGCTTTCCCAAAATAAAAGAGAGAGGACCATCAAGTGCTGACCCCTCTACAGCCCACATGACGGATTTGTGCATGAGCTCAGTAGAGCAGCCAGAATTACAACTTAATTTCCATCATAATATACTGTGTTGATTAGGAATTGGGAAGCAAGGAACTCTTCAGAACAGTTCCACTCAGCTTCCTGAAGAGGGAGGGGGCTGTTGGAGTTGCCAGGTATGGAAGGAATTAGGGTGAGATGAGGAAGCAGAGAATAAACGTGAATTTTGAGAAGGCCACACTGGGCCATGGATACTCAGAGCATGAAATTCTCTTAGGCAAAGCCTTGTGGACCTTTACAAGATGCAGCTTTCTGGTGGGTATGGTGGCCCATGCCTGTCATCCTGGCACTTTGGGAGGCTGAGGCAAGAGGACTGCTTGAGCCCAGCAGTTCAAGACCAGCCTGGATATTATAACAAAACCTCATCTCTACAAAAAATCAAAAAATTAGCCAAGCATGGTGGCACATGCCTATAATCCCAGCTACTCAGGACTCTGAGGTGGAAGGATCGCCTGAGCTCAGGAGGTCAAGGCTGCAGTGAGTTGTGATTGTGCCACTGTACTCCAGCCTGACTGAGTAAGACCCTGACTCAACTCCAACAACGAAAACGATGCAACTTCCCACAAGCTATTACAAAAGTACGGTAGCAGAGAAGGTGGGAATGGAAATGACTTGCCCTCATCTTCTCACAGCCCCCAAGCCACCTGCTCATACAGACTTATAGCAGGTAAAAAGTTACAACCGGTGCTTTGTTTTCACTTTGGCTTAACACTACCCAAGCGTTAAGCATAACCAAGAAGTTTACCTCCAGGTTAGGCTTCTGAAAGGGATGCTTGGGAGGATAAAGTAGGAAGAGGGATAGGCTGCTCCTATGAGGTCCCCATATTTTTCCTGAGTTATCTTTTGGACAGCAAAGATCGCCAAGACTCCCAAGAATATAGGTTTCTCACAGCTCCAAATATCAGGAAAACTGGCAGAATGGATTTGAAACCAGTGAAGCTCCAACCAAGATACAGTTGCAGTTGAAAACTCAAAAATGACTAGGCCAATACTACCATTTTTGCTCACTGTCCAGTCGGGTTATTCCATGGCTGCTTTATACAAGGCCTATGACTTAATTTTCCACAGCCAGTACAGAGGGGTGGGGGTTGCCCACGTTTTATTGATCGAATGACTTGTTGACCCTAAGGAAAAGAAAAGTGGGCTGCGTTTCTAAGCTTCTATTTCTGGAAGTCCACAAAAGATTAGTGTTGGTCACTCAGAAAGATGTTCAAAGAAAGAACAAGGCAGCTGATACCCACTGGGAGCTCTATCCTTATATTGGTGTGTACGTGCACACGAGCACACACATGTGCGTGCGCGCGCGCACACACACACACCCGAGAGCCAGCTGCTGCAGCCCACGCACCACTGCACTTGAGTAAGCCAGTTCCCTGGTGGTCTTTTAAAACATGAGGTGCTTTCTAAAAGGGGGTGATGATTTCTGTGCTGGCAGCCCTCACCCTTCCTCCAAGCACTCTTCTTTTGTTGAAATCCACTGGTTTGACACAGGGCTGATTCAGTCAAGCAGATAGACCACTGGTCACTGTGGGCCATGTCAAAAGCATTCTCTCTCCCTGGGTAGCAGAGTGAAGACAGGTGAAGGGCCCATCAGTGGGATGGCTTCCGCTGCCAGGGCCTCTGGCCTCATCTACCCCTTCCCCTGGCAAACTGCCCTTGCCCACACCTAGTTCTCCCTAGCTGGAGCCAGGAGCTGAACAGGAATTCAATACTCCCTCTCTGAACCCCACCAACCCCACCTCTCTCCAGGATCTGGAAGTGTTTCCCACGCTCCAAGGCTACAGAAACAGTCCACACCTTCCCAAAGTGGCATTGTAAAGCCTGTGCAAGGTACCAAGTCCCTCTTGGGTGTCTTGACTTTTACGGTGGAAAATCCTTTCAAAAACCTTAACATCTGCTTCTGTAGAGCATTTTAACTCCCATAAGTCAAGCAGCCTCTGTCTCAAGTGAATCGGACTCTCTCTGTATTTGAAGACTGGCTTCAGGCTATGGAAGTGAGTGGGGGGGCAAGCAATGTGCAAAATAGAAAGAAATGGCCTCAGACTCCTGAACTGAATCTCCGTATGAAATTTAAAACAATGCAAGAAGTTGGGCCTTGTTGGGGGAAAAAAATATTCAGGAAAGAAAGCAAATCCCCCAGGACAAGTTAGACTTGAACTTTAGTATCTTTGGCTGGGTTTTCAGTCTGCTGCTGATGATCAGATAGCAAAGACAAAAATCTCTAAAATAAACTCATTATTAGGCTCACTGCATCAATTCATTACTACAGTAGCTATTCATGACCAAATCTTTCTCTTTTCTGGATCAAGCTGAGATTAGTGCTCATTTCTTTTTATTTTTTTATTTTAAAGGGGTGGGGTACAATTCAGGATTAGGTATACAAGTGGTCTTCATACAGGTAAAGTTTGGGCCTATCTTTGGTCCCCATTTTGCCTATTTTGAAATCAAGTACCCTTATTAATGTTATGTGCTCCCCCCTTCCCCTGGCAGTTTTCAGCTATTGCCAATCAGTGTTCATTTCAACCAATATACTTATTTCTTTTCTTTCATTGAGAGGGACTTAGAAACAGTCATGTAAAGCCCTTTTTTTCCTTGCAGACTTATTTACATGGCCATAGGCCTCTTGAGTGCCACAGGATATAATTAAATTAGTTGGCTAGGTCTCATGTTGCACATGATTTTACTTTTCATTTCTCCTCTTTTTCTCTAAAATGCATTTGAATGGCAGGTCTAGGTGGGTAAAAACCGAGAAACTTCTGTGCCCAAGACATGGACCTTGACCTCTCTGGGGACAGTCCTGTGCTGTTCAGATTCTCATGGGGTGCTGCTATTGATATGTAGAGTCAGACTGACTTATGTTCGAGATTGGGGACTGCCGTTTCATCAGCCAGACTTGATCTCTATAACTTCATGCAGGTTACTGGGACTGGCTATGCCTGTTTTCTTGTCTATAAAATTGCAGTGATAAGCCGGGCTCAGTGGCTCAGCCTGTAATCCCATGCCTTTGGGAGGCTGAGGTGAGTGGATTGCCTGAGCCCGCGGGTCTGAGACCCACCTGGGCAGGCGAGACCTCATCTCTACAATAAAAAATCAAAAAATTAGCCAGGCATGGTAGTGCATGCCTGTAATTCCAGCTACTCGGAAGGCTGAGGCAGAAGGATCGCCGGAGCCCAGCAGGTCGAGGCTGCGGTGGCCGGGAGCGGCCACTGCACTCCAGTCTGGGCGACAGAGTGAGACTCCAACTCAAAAAAAAAAAAAAATTGCAATGATAATACTATCTGTGAGTAGCTATGTAGTAAAATACTACATATAAGTATGGCTATCTGTGAAGATCAAACGAGATCATCCATTTGAAGGGCTTAACACAGGGTCCTGTATAGGGCAAGCTTCCCAGAACTGGTAGATGCTGGTTTTTGATGCTATTGAGAATGAAGAAGAAAGAAGAAATGTGTCTATAAATCACTGGGAATCAGAAGAGCAAGTTTTGAGACCGACTCTACACCTTCCTTGCTATTTACCTTGGGAACTTGAATTATCCAAGTCAGTTCCTCTGCCTAAAAATTGGGTCTGAGTTGCATAGAACAGACAACAATGTCGGGGCAAGTTTGTGGCAAGTCTCAAACATTAACTGCAGTGAGCTGGGGTTGCCACAGTGGTTTTTAGAGCATCAGTCAGGCTGAGAGGAGGAGATTGGGTATCTTCCTAGTTCATTTTGTGTACTTTCTGTGGCAGTTGTCAAGGAAGGAAGCGTGGAATGATCTGGATCCAAAACCTTTGCTGGAGACATATCCTTGGACATTCTGTGCTCCTGAAAAATCAATCCTTTTCCTCTCTGAGAAATACATATCCACTCCCATAGCTCCCATGGCTCACAATGCTTGGAGGACCAACAAACGAGGAAGTACTCCTGGGTTGAAGGGCATGACCTCTAGTGTTCTCAGTGGCTTTGGTTTATTACCAGTTAGACTGATAATAACTGGGGGTGGTTCTCCTATGGAAAGTGCATTTTAGAGCAAGAGTAAAGAGTTACTTTCTAGAGAAGGAAACCAGATCAAGGTTCATTGGATATTATCTTCATTTCCCAATTTTGGATGTAATTCTCCAAATAGGAACCTATTCTTGAAGCTGTGGAGATTCTGCCAGAAGTTGGACTTAGGACTTTTATTTATGTATGTATTTTTTTTGGAGACAGAGTCTTGCTCTGTTACCCAGGTTGGAGTGCAGTGGTTTGTTCATAGTTCACTGTAACCTTGAACTCCTGGGCTCAAAGGACATTCCCAACTCAGCCTCCCAAGTATCCAGCACTACAGGCACACACCACCATGCCCAGCTAATTTGTTTGCTTTTAATTTTTTTTTTATTTTTTAGAGACGTGGTCTCACTATGGTGACCAGGCTAGTCTTGAACTCTTGGCCTCAAGTGATCCTTCTGCCTCAACCTCCCAAATTGCTGGGATTATACCCATAAGCCTCTGTGCCAGGCAACTTGAGGCTTTTAAAAGAGTTCCCTTTCTTTTACCATCTTGACTTGGGGTGTGGAAAAGTCCAGAGGAAAGAAGTACACTAAGACACTTCAATTATGTGTGCTAAGGATGAGAAGTGATGGTAAGTCTTTGTTTTCTTGGAAATGTACAGTACTCACTCCCACACCTACAGTTCATCATACCAATTATTGTTCAAGACATCTTTATCAAGAGATTCTTTGATGCTAAAAAAAAAACGTAATTGGAGTGAGAACAGGAAATATAAAACTAATCCCCACCATCAGAGAAGTCGCTGATTGTGCTCATTAAGTCTTTTTTAATTGGATGCCTATGAAACTTCAGGCTCAAGATTTGATTTCTTCTTTTGATACCAGTATGAGGTTTCCACTTTGTTAACTGTAGGGAAGGGTGGATCCTAAGATTTGTTTGTTTTTTGTTTTGTTTTGTTTTGCTTTAATTCAGTTGGAGCAGTGGCTAGCAATTAAAGGGAAAAAAGAAACCTCTAAGTGTTGAGATTTAGTCATTGATATCGGTTTTGGAGTAAATTTATATTTTGCTACTCATTGCCTGGCCAGGCAACAAATCTATTTTGGTTGGATCTGAACAGCAGTTTGGGGGGGAAAAAAATCGTATTGACGGTAATAGCTTGAAACATGAAATTGTTTTTATTCCCAGCTTGGAGAAATTGCAGGGCACGTTTTATTTAAGCAATCCCTTTGACTACAGTCTGAATGCAGTAGAATACCAAAACTGTTGGGCACATTCCCCCTTATCTCCTACCCAGAGACTGATTTCATTACCATAATTGCAGGCTTGCCTAGTTCTTGGCAGCCTTTTCCTCCAAGACCCTTAATAGCCTCGCAGACAATTGTTGTAGCTCAGTTGTTCCATCTACAGGCCAAGGGAGATTGGGCTGTGGAGGAAAAGGATCATGTCTTCCAAGGCTTGGCATCACCCGGCCACTGCCCAGGGCAACTCTGCCCTGCCCAGCTATATCCGCCTTCCTCACTTGCTTTTCCAGGGTTCTGCGTGGGTCCCAGTTACCATGACTCTCCAGCGACCATTCATTCCAATAAACAGCAATGATGTGAAATGGATGATGTATTCCTTTTCTCTCCTTCCCTTTTTTATTTTTGGGAACTACTAAAAAGCTTCATGATTATTTATAAAAGTGCAAGGTATGTCTATAAGACTGGGGTCAGAACTATTGGTGCCCTTCTGGGCATTCATCACAGAGTAGAAGGATGTACTTGGCTTGCTGCCGCCTGATTAGACTGTGTGGTTGAAAGTCACCCTCTTGACCATGTGTCTGGACCGCACAAAACCACAGCCCAGGCCCACCATCAGCTGGGCAATGTCCTTTCAATGTCAAAGTGAGCAAGATTCGAACCTCCCCATTCCTAACACAAAAGGAAGGGACTATTTGTCTCCAGGCTGGGCACACCCCAGTCCAACTTGGCAGAGCCTCCCAGCAACTCTCTCAGATGTCGGGTTAGGGCAAAACTGGAAATGCATCTGCCCAGGACATCTTGCGCTGATTACTTGGAGTGCGTGTTTCTGATTCATTTGCACATAACTCATCCAGGGGGTGTTTTGCAAGAGCTATGTGATGGCCAAAGGAACCCAATGAGTCTTTTATTATGTTTTTTTAAACAAGTTTCTCTACGTTGATTGTCTCTTGGAGCCAAGAAGCCGCGTTCTTCCAGCCCCGTGACAGACTTTAAAACTAGGCTTTGTAAATCCTAGAGCAAGTTCTAACCTTGGCTCCAGGACCATATGCTGTGACCCTGAGGGTAGGGTTGGTTGAGGAGTGTGCAGGCTGGGACTGGACTATAGGATAGTGCAAATCATAGCTGAGACTTTGTGTTCATGTCTCTGCGTACCTGTGACGACCAGACCTACCAGTGCCTGTGGCCTCTTTGTCCCTTTGGTCTCATGAGAGGACAGCACCTCTGATACTTACTTTTTGAGAGGCAGTGTGGCAAAGTTGTAAGAGCATGAGCTCTGGAACAGACTCTCCAAGTCTGCCACTTACAAGCTCTGTGACCTTAAGCAAGTTGTTAATGTCTGTGTGTGCCTGTTTCCCCTGGCTGTAAAAAGCTATCCGTTGTGATGTAGCAACCACTCCAAAACACAATAGCTTAAAACAATGAGCATTAGGTTGCTGTGGGTCAGGAAAGCAAGCAGAGCTCAGCTTGGAGAACTTGTCTCTGCTCCATGTAATATCGACCCAACTGGGGCTGCAAAATCCAAGATGGCCCCACTCACATGACTGAAGCCTCAGAGCTGGATGCTGGCTGAGGTACGTTAGCTCTCATGCACACAGCCTCTCTCTTTTCATGGTCTCTACATGCGCAGTGGTCAGGCTGGGCTTCCTTACATTGAGTTAGAAGCTGCAAGACCCCTTTCACTCCTACCCATTCCACTAGGCAAAGTAAGTGCTATGACCAGCCCAGGTTTCCAGTGAGGGGAAGCAAACTTCACCTCTTGATGGAAGATGTGGCACCCACATACAGAGATGGGAGGTTGTAATGAGGGTTAAATAAAGTAATATAGTTGGAGCACTTAGAACAGTGCCTGACACAGAGCTTGCATTCACTAAGTGTTATGTCTTAATATGATTATCCTAGTTATCACTTTAAGAACACATATGGAACATATTTACCTCCTGAATGACAGACTTCTCAACAAGTTAGACATCAATAAATCAGGGTCCTGTCTCTCCCAACTCTTCCCAACCCAAGACCACCCCTGGGGGTTTTCTGTTCTGTGTCACCCTGCGATCTCAGCTTTTCTTCATGAGGGATACATCCATCATGTCCCTCTGCTCTCTCAGACTTTCTTCCAAGGGTCACCTAGCTTGGAGGCTGTTGACTCCACATTGACCCTGGCCTGTTCTGAATTCTTCAGGTCACCATAGAGGTGGTCGACGGTCCTGACTCTGAAGCAGATAAAGATCAGCATCCGGAGAATAAGCCCAGCTGGTCAGTCCCATCCCCTGACTGGCGGGCCTGGTGGCAGAGGTCCCTGTCCTTGGCCAGGGCAAACAGCGGGGACCAGGACTACAAGTACGACAGTACCTCAGACGACAGCAACTTCCTCAACCCTCCCAGAGGGTGGGACCGTCCGGCCCCAGGCCACCGGACTTTTGAAACCAAAGAGCAGCCAGAATATGGTGAGTTTACCACCCAGTAATATGAAATTGGTGGGAAGAATAAAGAGGATGATGAGGCCTAACGGACATGGAGCCAAGCAAAACTCAGTTTATTGTATGTGGCTTTTGGTCTTCTGTGAGGCATATCTCATAACGGCTCCATTCCACAAAAGCCCCAAGAAGGCACCAGCAGCCACATTTTTCTGGAAAGACTGTAATTTTAAAATCATACCAATTATCCTAAGAGAGAATATCTTTTAGGGTCTTTGGGGTTCTTTTGGCCTTTTTTTCTCCCAAAATTTTAGTTTTACTTCAGAAAATGAAGTCCTCAAATTCACTTTCTTGTATTTTTATTGTAAAAATTCATATTGAAAATTAATTTAGTTAAAGAGAAGTATACAGCTGGCTTCCTTGGATCAAGAAACTGCATTATGTTTGATATTGCCCATAGAATAGCCCTCACAAATCCACATGAACTTATATGTCACAGGTCATCCAAGTAAGCCCCTCCACAATAAATTTCAAAACCCAAAGTTGGGACTTCTAGTTTCCTGTGTTTTTCAAGTAGGATAGATGAGGTAACACTTTCCAAATTCAGTGACTTAAAAATAGCAAAAGTTCATTTCTCAGTTGAGTTGAGATGGGAGACAGGATGCAGAAGAAACTCAACTCCACTCAGTCATTCAGAGATCCAACCTCCTCCCATCTTGGAGCTCTACTAGTGATAAGACCTGAGAGCTATCCTTTGAATACTTTTCTTCCAGCTGGTATCCAAGGAAAGAGAGGATCTTAGAGAAGGCACACTCACTCTTAACCCCCTCAGAATGGTGATGATACATATCGGATCTACTCAAATCCTACTGACAATACCTGGTTACACGGCCCCATCTAGATGCAAGGGAGGCTGGGAAATATATTCTGTGTGTCCAAGAAAAAAAGGAAACAAGTTTGGCAAGCATCTGGCCAGTTTTGATGAGTAATCAAATAGTGTTATAAGAATTTTTGATGTCTTACAAATGCACCCATCATCAGGATGTTCTTGTGGCTTCATCATCAGCAGAATTAGGAGTTACTGTATATGATGAGGATGACTTGTCTTGTGCACTCTAACATTTACCCCTATTTTTCAACAGAAAGACAAGTGACATATTGGAGAATAATCTCTGCTAATTAATATGTGATTCTAGGCAACTTCCAAAGCAGCAAGACAATTTTTTTTTCCACATCAGTTGTTTAACCAGCATCTATTAAGAACATGTCTTGTGCACAGTGCTATGCTAGGTTCTGGGAATCTAGAAATGAACAAGACACAGTCCCCAAAGAGGAGCTCACCCATCTGTGGACAAAGGGAGAAAATGAACTGATAGAGCAAAATAGTGTCAAGATAGAGATACACATCAAATGCTAAGGAGCAGAAAGATAATTCCATACCCTTTCCAGCCAGGGGGCTTATGAAACCTTCACCTTTCTTAGAATATGTCCAGTTTATCTATTTTCCAAGAGGAATGACTGGGGATAATAGCCAACATTTATATAGTATTTACCATGCAAGTTCCTCTTCACAGCAGTTTGCATATATTATCTTATTTAATCAACTCTCTGAGGCAGAAACCTCATTTTACAGATGGGAAAACTAAAAAACCAGAGAAATTAGGCAACTTGACTTGGAGAGTCAAGACCTAGGACTCACCCCAGGCAGTCTGGGTCCAGAGTCTGTCCTCTTGATCACTATTCTATTCTCTCTTGAGGAAAAATAGCACTTTCCTCAGGACTAGAGTGAATCTAGAAATGAATGCTTGAATTATCAAGTAGGAATGAGAGGAAAAGACAAGTGCTATTGAAAGAGAGAGAAACAGGATCCCTGGATACCAGCATGAGGTCTTAATCTGTTTGCTCAGCCCACACAAAACACTGTTTCTAAAAGTGGGATTTAGACACGTGACATCAGAATTCCTCAACTGCACATTAAAAAATGCCAGTCTGGGCCCCAACGCCTCCTCTGTATCTCACCGGTCCTCAAAATAAGGCCTCCAACCCTAAACACAAGCATCTCCTAAAAATGATAGAAATGCATATTTTCAGACCTCACTCCAGAACTACCAGATCAGACACTCTGGGGCAAAACCCAGAAATCTATGTTGAACAAGCCCCAACACCAGGGAACCCTGCTGTGTTGAGCACTAATGGTTCTCAACCTTGGTTACGCATTATACCCACCTGGGGCATGTTTTTAAATCCCAAAGCTTAGACCTCTCTCCAGACCAATTGTATTGGGATCTCTGGGGCTGGGTCCCAGGCATCAGTGTCTTTTAAAGCCCCAAGGGCAACTCCAATGTTCAGCCCAGGTTGAAAACCACTGCTCTTGTCTTCTGAGTGAGAAGGTTGAGAGCTGAGACCTGGAATCTGTTATTGTTTGCTTCTTTGATTCTTTTTTCAGCCAATGTCACCAGGTGAATTCTCACACTCACTGACTTTGAAGACCACCACTAGAAACAACTTTTTCATCTAAAACTTTTGCAGGGTACACATTGCTGGATTCATGAACATTGGGACCACCTACTCTATTTCAATCTTGAGGCTTGAACTTGCTTCTACTGGGGCTGTTACTGTTACTATGGCTTCCTCAGCCATCCTTACCCCCAGCTTCCTAAGGGGGTAGCTCTCCCTGCCTCAAGATCTCACAGCACGCCATGAAGAAGTTTCCATCTTCTCTGATTTTCAATTACCTCTTAGGACCTTTCCCATAATCAGACTGGGTATCAAGATCACTACTTTATAAAGAAAACCTCTAAAGCAGTACATCTCAGACTTTCGTGTGAGGGGTCCTGTTAAAATGCAACTTCTGTAGGTGTAGGAAATGGGTAGATGCCCAGGTGAAGCTGTGACTCCAGCCATCCAACCACACTTTGAGTAGGGAGGCACTAGACCCACTGTAGTTTCTCAGGAGCATTTGCAGAACGAATGGATGATCATTACTTCTCAGAAGAGTTCTCAAGGAACATGTGATTTCCAGAATTCCACTCAGCAGCTCTTTTATTTCAATCAACAAGGAATTCTTGAGCAATTTCTAACTATGTATCCCTATGTCGGGTATGGTTGTGGGGGACACAGGAGAGAGCACAACACACAGGAAGGAGAGGTTTGTGCAGTAGCAAAGTGGGCAGGTCACCGTGTCTAGGGGCTTGCTGCCTCATCTGAGCCAGGCTAAGTCAACCCAGGAGCTGGCCTTTGTGGAGAAGGTAGTTCTCAGAGTTCTGAAGGTAGGAATTTCAGTAAGAATTTAAATGTTTGTTGACAGAGAGTATTTCAAAAAATGCTAGGTGTAATCATAGAATATAATGGCACCTGTAGAATGAATTACAAAATATGCAACAGAAGACAGACCTAATTTGTGATGAGAGAAATAAATGTGATAATGTCATGACTCAGCTCAGCTGTGGCAAGTATTTGTTTGAGATACTGCATTTTAAATCTCTTCTGTGAAGGTACTTCAGGGATCCAGGGCAAAGAGAGAGTCCAAACAAATACTTTTGTATCTAACAGTGGTATACCATTCCCAAAATTGTTTAGAATAGCCCGCATAATGAAAGTAGGTAGGCGCTGGTTATTGTCACCTGGGTTAGGACTTAGTTCTTTGAAATTCTTTACCTGGTTATGGTTCTATTTCAATAGTTGTTATTTTCACAGTGGTTTTTTGTCTGGGTTTTTTCTTCATAGTGTTGAATTATGGCTACATAAGTGAGTATCTTTAAAAAGGGAGGCCAACTTGGGCTAGAATCAAGCTGATAGTACACCAAGCCATAAAACAGGACATGGTAGGAGCAGACAGACCTCAGATCTGATCCCAACTCTGCTGAGTTTGGGCTGTGAGACCTTAGGCAGTACCTTAACTTTTCTAAGCTTCAGTTTCCTTGTCCCTAAAAGGAGGATGTTTCTACCAACCTCACAAGGTTATTACAGGAGTTCAATCATTGTGGGTAGACAGAGCAGCTGGTTAAAGCTGGCCCTCAGTAATAGGTAGCCACTGTCATCTAGGATTCCTGGTACAGGTTTGCCAGTGACCAAGTCAAGACCCAAATCACTTCCCGATACTACAACTGGCCTATAGCACACTAGGCCCCTAAGACTATAAAAAGATTACCTTAAAATTTCGCAGGACATTCTTGAACCCAGCTTTCAGTCCACCTCAGTGGGGATCATTTTCTTCCCTCCTTGAGTTCTTTGATATCACAGCTAGAGGCTGTCAAAGCACCATGTAATGCTCCCAGGAACCTTTTTTTTTTCCTTCATTGTTGTGATCTTTGTGATTATTGATACTCACATTCATTCTCCACTCTGGGCAATGCTCCCTAGAAGTTGAGCAAATAAGAACAGACTTGTTTTATTATAGCAAAAGGAATACTATCTCAATCTGAAACTCTGTTTTTTGAACATATTAAACGAATAGAAATCCCCAAGAGGAGAGTCTTCGCTGGGATGTTGATCTAGGCCAGTGTGCTGTGAAACCTTCAGGATAGTGCACACAGACTCACTTTTTTCCTAGAAAGTTGTTTCATTTCATTGCCGGTCACAATAGAAATGATTACCCACACAGTGTGTTCTGTGCCTAACTTTGGGGGACCCATATAAAAAAAAAAGTGTTTCGAAATGAAATGGGTTTGTGAGCATTTAAGATAAAGATATAGAGAAAACCACTTACTTCAATAATAAGTCCTTGATGGTTCCAGAGTCTGGCAGTTGTCTAGAGAGCATATTTTAAGGAGGAAAGGATTTTACAGAGTATTTGTAACAGTTAGCTTTTACTGCTTAAGAAGTCACCCCTAAAATTTAGTGACTTTAAAGAACAAAAGGTTCCTCTCTCATGAGTCTGTAGTTCCATTATCATTCATGAGTCTTGCCTGAACTGTTCTAGGCTGGCATGGCTAGGGCTGGATGTTCTATTCTGGCCTTACTTACAATGATGGGTACCCAGTTGTCTAGATGCTGTGCTGAGATGGCCGGGGCTTCTCCCCACCATCTGGTCCCTCACCCTCCAGGAGGCTGGTTTGGGATCCTTACATGGTGGTGGATGAGATATTTGCTGTTATCCCATTGGCCAAAACAAGTTATGTGACTTAGCTAGGAATCAGCATGAGAAAGGAGTAACCAAGAGGGTGGTTTTGGGAAGAGGAATTATGGGAGTCATTTTTCACATAATCTAGCACAGTAATAATGCTCAATAAATAGATCCAAGAAACCAAAACAAGGAATTACCTCATGCAGACATTCCAATGTAAATCTCATAGTGAGTTTAATGCTAACATCTCAGAACTCAGGGATGATACTTCCCAAATTTTGCTTTCTGCATTGCTATAATAGAGAGGCAAGACTGTAAGATATTTCTATATGGTTGAAGCCCCTTTGCTTCTTCTAAACCAAGGACACCACTTGGCGTCATTCTGTTCTGTGCTGGTACACACCCACAGGTGATGTGAACTCAACCTATATGATTTAATAAGCGTTTTCCGACTTACCTACTTCCCCTTTTTATGAGCATAAAAACATTATATTGTTTACTTGCAACCATGTTTTCCACCATTAACAAAATCTTGCCTGGTGGTGTGTGCAGGATGTGAGTGTGTGCACATTTGCATATAGCCCACTGCACCTGGATGCTTCTTCCTGCTGACAAGCGTGCAATTATGTAATTGGTCCAAGTGCATCTCTGGTGTTCTCCGGGAGATTACCAAGAGATACCAGATTTCAAAGGTCTCAGAGGGAACAACAACTGCCCCTACTTCGGTGGTTTCTCCCTTGGGAAGCAACTTGCCTCTCCAGTCCAACCATGTTGATGCCCAGTAAGAGATGGTGGAGAGGAAGGAAACTAATGCTGGGGAAGGTAGCCCAACTCTCTAACACAGAGCATCTGCTTTCAACATCGCTTGACCTCATGGTTGGAAAACCACTTTTTTTAGTTGAGGGCCTCACTTTGTCACCCCGGCGGGGGTGCAGTGGCACAATCATGGCTCACCACAGCCCCAACCTCCTGGTCTGAAGCAATCCTTCCACCTCAGCCTCCTAAAGTGCTGGGATTACAGGCTTGAGCCACCGTGCCAAGGCTTTAAAAAAACAATATCTTAGAAGAGAATCAAAGTTCAGAACAATTCTTTTTAGGGGAAGGGAGAGACATTGGATGGGGTCCTTGAAGGCAGGTGAAGTGTGAGGGGAGATGAATTAGGGAAGAAGACGCAATCATGGGGTTTCCCCGCTTCTCTGAGTCCACTTAGTAGGCTGAGGAGGCTTGGCGGCCCAGCATTTGCCTGAGGAGTGTTCAGAGTGAATGCTGTGTAAACAACAGCCCGGAGGGCTGGCACAGGCCCACAATTCAGGTAGAAACATGTGTGGACTACATTCTTGCCAGGCCTATGTAATAACAATCGCCACGACCTGTTATGAACAGAGGGTACTCCTCCCTGGAAGGTGCATGTCTGTAGCTCCATGCTTGGCACCAGCAGAGGCCCCGAGGCTATAGAAAGATCTGGGTAAACCAGGGGAAATTATTACATGCGGAAGGTGCTCCAGAAAGAGTCATGCTTTACAGAGCAGGGCTTCATGCTAGAACCCAAGCTTTCCCTTCTGTTAGTCAGTCAACCTTGGACAAGTAGCCCATCCACTCCAGGACTTTACTTTTCATAAGAGAAAGTCAGTCTTGATAAAGTACCAACCTCTCCCACCTCTCACTTCCACGCCCCGCTAGCCTGGTCTACTTACTGTTCCTTTTTGCACACCATTCATCAACTTCTAGCATACTATATAATTTTCTCATTTTTTGTGTTTATTGATGATTGTTTCTTCTCACTAAAGTATTAGTTCCACCAGGACAGGGATCTTTGAAAGTTTTATTTAATGGTATATCCCACATACCTAGAATTGTGCCCAATGTATGATAAGGGTGCTATAAATATTCATTGGGTGAATGTTGAGTAATGACCTCAAGGGATCATTTCTAGCTTTACTATTATGTATTGGTTATCATCTATTGCTGTGTAACAAACCATCTAAAAGTGGTGGCTTAAACAATTACAGTTTATTATTTCCCATGATTTTGTGGCTCATTAGTTCAGGCAGAGACACTGGGCAGTTCCTTTATTCCTGATGGCACCAGCTGCATTCAGCTCTCCACTGAGAAGAGCCATAAGGTTCGAGAAGGCTTTGCTCGCCTGTCTGCTATCTTAGTGGTCCTTCTTGTGTCTCTTCTCTTTTCATGTGACGTCCCATAATTCAGAGATTTAGCCTCTGGATTATACAGAGCAAGAACTGGAAGCTTCCAGGCTAGCCCAGATCCTAGAGAAAAGAAAATATATTCACCTTTCCTCCCTTCCTCCTTTCTTCTCTCCCTTTCTTCTCCTCCTCTACCTTCTTCTTTCCCCTCCTCCTCTTCCCTCTTCTTCTTCCTCTCCCTCTCCCTCTCTCTCAATGACTAGATGTATACACAAGGAGGGAAGGAACTAATGGTAGTCATCTTTGGAAACTGCCTAGCATATTTCCATGATCACTTTCTCTATAAATGTTGTGTTCTCAACAAGAAATTACTGGACACCTTCTAGAGATGCACAGATCACCACAGTGCCCAACACCTCCCTGCCTTCACAAAGCTGCCCCCTAACATGAACCCTGGAACCATAGCCTTTTAGCTCCAACTGGCATCTGGTTCCCTCCAACAGTGAGGACAGCAGAAGTGAACACTAACTGGAAAGCTGTTGGACGGGGAGACTGGATACTTTCTGGGTGAGGTTGATGATCATCTCCCGGTCCCTTCCAGATTCCACAGACGGTGAGGGTGACTGGAGTCTCTGGTCTGTCTGCAGCGTCACCTGCGGGAATGGCAACCAGAAACGGACCCGGTCTTGTGGCTATGCATGCACTGCCACAGAATCGAGGACCTGTGACCGTCCAAACTGCCCAGGTGAGTTTGCCCAGGGGTATGGCTCCACGTTCAAGAGGAAGCTTTTAAATTTATATTTTTAAATGTATAGAAACTGTCTTTTTAAAATATTACTGTTTTCCTAATAAGAATTCTGTCCAGAATGAGACAAGAGATAATGAATGAGATGAATGGATGAAATGATGGATTTCCTTGAGTCTTATGCCGGTTGTAGTGACTGTGACCTAAAGGATGGTGACATGGTTTACTTATTTAATTTCAAGGAGGGATGCTGGTGAGTTTGGGTCTTTGATGTGGGATTTGTTGTGCCTTGAAGAGACAGACGTTCATGATGTGACAAGGAAGCCAGGAATAGAAGGCTTGACAGCCATTGGCAGGAAACCCACATAGTCAGCCCCACCAGTGACAACTGGGAGTTGACAGAGGGTCCCAAGGAAGCGAACGGGGGCAACTTGGCCATTAAACATCACTTAATACTGCATTGCCAGTGCTTTCAAAGCTAAACTGATTACAAACTGGATGAGAGGTCATATTGAGAGTGACAAATACTTGTGACTGATTATAGCAGTGGTGATCAAACCATGACCAATGGACTGAGTCCAGCTCACAACCTGTTTTTGTATGTCCCGTACATTTTTAAAGGATTGTGGAAAGGAGGAGGCAGAAAAAGGGAGGGGAGGAAGAGGAAGAGGTAGCAGCAACCAAGGCCACATGTGACCTAAAATATTCACTCTTTGACCCTTCACAAAAAAAGCTTCCCAACTCCTGGTCTATAGTTTTACTATGCATTTCCCACTGCCAAGGTAGAATACCAGCCTAAAATAATATCTTAGACCCTTTTAAGAAACCACACATATCAAATGGCTTCAGCTGAAAGAAATTTCAGAAACAGAAAATCTGATCCCCGCACACTAGACATCCTTTTTCTACCCCAGACACTCTGTTCTCAAACCAGAGATATCTGGAACAAAAGAGAAGTGAAAGCACAAAGGGGTTTCTGAGGAGAGCAAGGAAGAATCAGACTGGAATGAATGTGTGTGTGTGTGTGTGAGCAGAAGCGCATGCGTAGAAAATGGGACTGAAAGGTGAGAAGGGGTGGTTCTGCCTCCACGGGTGCCCTGCTGAAGGGCTTCAGACAGCAAAGCAGCCACCAGGATGCTTTTCCTGGTCTCTCCCACGCTCGGCGTCATAAGCTGAGTTGGAAGTCTGGTGGGTGGGACTTGGAATGGTAGAAGTAATGGCAATAGGAGGAGAAAGAGGAGGAAGATGAGAACAGGAAGAAAATGAAGAAGGAAGAGAAGGAACATAAGAAGAAAAAGTAAAGAAGGTGATGGTGAAAGTGAGGAGACGAGGCAAAGAAAATTAAGATGAAAAAGAAAATGAAAAAGATGATCACGAAGAACGAGACTTTTTGTAGACTTACGTTTCAAGCAGATTTTTAGTCTTTATTAAAATGTATTGTTTTCTTTACTCCTCACAATAGTCTCATGAAATAAGTATTTATCACAGTACTTATTTGACAGCTGTGCAAACTGGGGCATAAGGGGTTAACTTGCCCAGAGTCACACAGGCAGCAAGTAATCAACGTGGAATTTGAATCCAGGCAGTCTGAATACAGAATTCATACTGTTAATTATTAACCTCATTGGCCTGCACCAGATATTGGGATGAGTCACACATGGGTACAGGCAGAATTTAATGTCAGGGTTTGGGGACTTGCCTGTCATTTTCTCTTCCAGAGCTGGCATCCAGGCCTAAGGCAGCAGCTTTAGGTATCTTTTCAGAAAAGGTTCCTCTCTGCCACCATTTTGAATGTTTCCTTCTTATTTTCTGTCACTGCTGAGAGCCGTGTGGCCAGCAACCCCCTTCGTACATTTTCCTCCCATCTCTCTTTGTCCTCTTACCATCTTTTCTGCCTCTCTGTTCCTGGCTATGCCAGCTTTTCACAGCTCCCTCAGAGAATGAGGGGTTTCTTTTGTCAGGATCTCTTTCCTTATTTGATGTGTTGATTCTCAGTCTTACTGGAAGGCATCCTGGGGCAGACAAGGTCTCCCTCTCCTGGCAGGGATTACACGGTAAAAGTTTGTCCCCAAGGTCAGCCCTAAAAATAAGTTTGGGGGACCTCACATAAAAGCAGAGAGAGCCCCTTAAAGGAAAGGGAGTTATCCCCACCAAGGAAGCCGAATGTCGCCAGCAAATGTTCCATTTCTTCCTCTCCTTATTGCTTTAGCTTGTACAGGAGTCCTGTTTGTAAAGAAGACTGGGTTGGGGTGGTAGTCTGGGGAGTGATGGGGGTAGTTTGGTGAGCTTGTGAGGGCCAGGAAGTTTGAGGAAAGCTGGGGTTTGTTCCTCTGAACAAGTAATGACAAGCCCTACTTATTTTTTTCTGAAGCATCAATGACAATGCTGTGTTCTGTAATATGAGATATCTGGTCTGACTACGGGCCACTGCGTCTTTAATGAGCTATATAAACATTCAAGGGAAAAAACATCACCTAACACTTACCCCTTACTGTTCTAAGTACTTTCTTTACCTGTAACTCATGTAATTCTTTCAGCCCTACGAGGTGGGGCATTTAGCTCTCCCCATTTTACAGATGTGAAAACTGAGGCACACAAAAGTTAAGTGGCTCACCCAAGGTCACCTGGCTAGTAATGATTAGAACCCAGGCAGTCAGTCACCAAAAAAAAAAGTATTAACCACTACACCCTACTGCCTGTGGTTTAGTTTGTCACCGTGATACTTCTAGACAACAATTCTGACATGTGTCTCCCCTGCCCAAAACCCCATTCCAGGCAGGGGGCTGCTTAGGACTCATTCAACCACATTTGGATCCGATTTCATGCTGCAAACGGTATCTGGTGTTTTAATATATTTTATGCGCTACTGCCCCCTTTTTACTGTTTCCTCTGTTGGCAGGTTTCTGCCCGTGAGTAGTAATGAATACAAAAAAGACTTTGTTCAGGTGTATTTGGTTTTTTTTGGGGGGGAGGGGTAAATTTTTCCATATAACTAGGGGAAAATGTGTCTGTGTTTAGGAATTGAAGACACTTTCAGGACAGCTGCCACCGAAGTGAGTCTGCTTGCGGGAAGCGAGGAGTTTAATGCCACCAAACTGTTTGAAGTTGGTAAGAAGATTTTATTTCTTTTTTTTTAATCCAAATATTGACTTGGTGCTTTGGAGATTCCTTTTGCCTTTGCAATGCCATCCTTGGATGCATGTAAATGTTTCATTTCCCTCTCCTGGGGTCCAATGCGTCTAGCTACTTCTTGCTCACTGAATATACTCGAAGCAAGAGAGAGCAACCCCATGCCTCCTCCATCAGCCTGAGCCATAAGGTATTTCCACGTGTTCCTGCTTTCCATGTAGCCCCTACTGCAAAAAGCAGAAAGATCACTCTCTCCCCTTATTACAAAGTCTGCCCATAGTAGGAACTTAAACTACCTGGTCTCTCATCTTACTCAGCCTTCACTGAGTGTCCTCAATAAAATCAAGAAATACTGCCTTCAGTTCTCTAGCAGAGAAAGAGAAAAGGAGTGATTTCTCGATAACCTATACCCCCGATCCCTGCAGTAATGTTTCATAAATCCTTGGTATACTCTGTTACCTGTCTGCTAGAAAGTGTTAAAACATTATAGACTCTAAATCTGTCCAAGTTGCTGTGAAGCCCATAATTTTGTCCTTCTTTATGGCTGCATAATATTCCATTGTGTATATGTACTACACTTTTTTATCCAGTTGCAGAACCGAGTCCCATACGTTCTCACTCATAAGCACACCCTGAACATTTACCATAATACTATAAGAAAGGAGTTGGCAGCAGCCATAAACTGCCAGGGGAAAGAGGGAGGACACATAATATCAATAAGGGTACCTGATCTCAAACCAGGTGAAGTGGGGGCCAAAGGGGGGCCCAAATTTTACCTGTATGTTGACCACTTGTATACGTAATCCTGAAGTGTACCACATATCTTTAAAATAAAAATTTTAAAAAAGAAAAGAAAGTGTAAGAGTAAATAAAATAGCCACAGACCGAACAAAAATGAAAGTGACTATTAAGGTGCAAGTTTGTTTTTTAAAAATAACTTCATGAGCTTCTAGGTATGGTTATATATTTAGAAGGGCAAGGGTAAAATTCCTTCTGCCCCATTTCTTTTTGCCACCCCCAAATCCTTACTTAGCCTCTTCACTTCTGCCCTGCCTCATCAGCCAAAATTTAGCAATTCTAAGTTCCTCTTTTGGGGGAGCTAATTTGGTGAACAAAGATGTTCTTCAAATGCCAATAGGGGTCAGGTAAGGCTCCAAGTAGAACAAGTCTAGAGTAAAAGGAAAGACAAATTAGAAAGTATGGAGGAAAAAATGGTGCCGGCACTATGATGCAAAGCAACAGAAACAGCTACGGCATCAGGGGGCAGCAGAGAGCAGTAAGGACTCTGACAAAACGAAGAGTTTTATCTAAAGAGGTCAGCCCCAACTTGGCCATCATGGAATGAATATCAAGCCAATATTGTCAGATGTTCTGACTTCACAAGAGAGGTCTGAAATCTGAACTTTGCTAGAATATATCTTAATTTTTAAAATACTTGATAATAATTTATTTTAAAAGTTCAATCAAACATGTCTATGAGCCAATTGAAGGTAGTTTGGAAATTCAGTGTTACGTAGGCCTCCACCTTACCCCCAGTCCCTTCACATACACAATCAAATTCCATTTAACAGAAGTCTTCTGCAAACACAACGCATTTTATTTTTTTTAATGACTTTAAAGGTAAGAATTTTGCATGGCATGGTAGAGCCTTACAGGCTGTCTTTTGGGGCAGAGAGCTCCCCTCAGACCTCCTCATCAAGAGAACCCCCCAAGCAGGCAGTACCTTACTCTTCTGCCGAGCACAGCCCAGACGCACAAGGTCACACTCAGTGTGTGGCCAGGGACACAAGAACTGAGTAGACATGGCATTTCAGTCAGGGTCCTGGCAAGAAAGAACATGGCACATGCACATTAGGTCATTGAGGAGCCTTTGGTGAGAGGCTGTTTGCAAAGGTCTGAGCAGAGTGGATGGAAACCAAGAAGGAGTTGTCGACAACAACTGGTGACAGTGGGGCACTCTTACCATGTCCTGGTCTGAAGGGACCAGAGGAAGGAGTGGTTTCCAGAGCCCACAGAGTGGCTGTGTGGAAAAGGCCACCTGACAGTGCTCTCAACCAGCAACTTTGAGGAAGGAATCAAAGGAAAGAAATACCCTGATGTCACTCTCCTCCCTCTGTCTGGCCTCTTACTGGGTCCTCCCATTGGCTTAAACTAAAAATCAGGGATCAAGGATCATCCACACAGGTCAACCTTCCAGGGCAAGGAGGAGCATGGCATGAGAGTAGACAGACAAGGACAGACGGGAGGTGGGGAAAGTGTGCCCCACACAAGGTCAAGTACTGAACCTAGTACTGCCTTGGTTTTCTGGTCTGTAAAATGGTATGAGGTCATAGCGCCCACCTCATAGAATTATTGCAGAATTCAATGAGTTAATATTTGTTAAGCATTTAGAACATGCCCATCACACTGAACACTGTGTAAATTATTTGATAAAATAAGTCAGTGGATGTCCTGAAGTTACGCCCACCATAGAGGGAAAATACAGAGCCATTTTCTGGGGCCTCACTGAATTTTGTCTCTAAGGACTCTGCCCTCTGACAGAAATCCCACAAGCTTTACAGACACTTCCTGGATTGAACTAATATTCTCTCAGCGACTGCTCAGTCAGGAGATCCCAGCCATGGAATCGTAGACCAGAGACCCGAAAGGAGTCACAGCGCATCCCAGCTGGCAGCACCTGGACCCTGTTGAGCTTGTCTGCCTCATTCCCTCCTACTTAATCCTCACCGAAAGTTTGAGAGGTGCTATTTTTATGTCCAGTTTAGAGATAAGAAAACCAAAGCAAGGCAAGGTAAAATACCTTGCTCAACAGGTCACAGAGTTACTAAATAGTTGAGTTGAGATTCAATCCTGAGTAGTGTAGCCTGAGATCCACACACCTGGACTTAGGTAAGGCCTTTCTGAGCTCATGAGAGATGCCCTCTCTTTTCCCCATTCTACTGATGAGAGCCTGGAGCCCTCTTCCAAACTACCCCTGGTCCTGATCACGTGATTTCCACTCATGACACCAGTAGCCTCCCAAACTCCTGGGTCAGAGCTGGAGTCACTTCTGAAGACTTCCTCTCTGTACTTCAAAACCCATCGGCCACCAAGCCTGGCAGCTCTAACTCTGACTGATCTTGATCCCATATGCTGTTCCCTCCCAGAGTATCTCACCCATTCCCTTCCCATCAATACCAAGGCTGAATTCATTTTCTTACTGCATGGCTCAGTTAATAGCTCACTATCACAAATCTTCGGGGCTTCCTAGTACCCCCTGAACAAGCCTAAACTGAACAAAACTTCCATGATCTGATGGCAACCATCTCATTTTTCTATACCTTCCGCTCCCTTGAAACTGAGCATGCTGTGTCCCCAGTCCCAGACATCCCAGCAGATGTTTTTCTGCTCAGCCCTACTTTGCTCAATTAGCACTTACCTGGAGTGCCCTTCCGCATCCCTGTTATTGCAGTCTGTGTCATTAGGGTCCTCCAAGATTCAGATAACAAGATGGGCGTAGACTTGCACAAGATATATTAAGGAAACACCCAAAAAGGATAAAGGAAAAGGCAATAGGACTAGGCAGGGAGAGATTTCAGACCAAGGTGCAGGCCTGACTCCTGCAAAGGGGGAGAGAGAGGGAAGGAGGACAGGAAGGAAGAACTTCAGGCAGTTCTGAGAATGTTCAGCCATGCTGACCAGGAATCTCAGTCAAGGTTTCCTGTTGGAGTGGCCCCTCACCAGGCAGTTCCCCTACCACGGTCAGTCATTGGCCAGGACCAGCTGGAGGGTGGATATGGCCACAATAGATCCAAAGTTGGTCCTCTTGTAGGTGCTCTGAGCAAGATACCTATGGCCCTGCCGTGTCTCAGACTGCCACTGTCACATGCTCCTTGAAGCGCCCCCCCAACTCGCCCTGCTAGATTTGCCCTCAAGGAGATCTTGTTCAGTTTAGGCTTGTTCAGCGGGCACTAGGGAGCCAATGAAGACTCGTGAATGACAGTGAGCTATTAAATGAAGCTTGCATTTTTGAATACCCAAGGGACTTGGTATCTTTGCCTCCCTTAACACACCTCCACATTCCACCATGGCTGGTTTTCTTAGATATGCCTCATCTGCAGCTCACTGAAGCAGGTGCTGTTGGTGACCTGCTCTCGTCCCCTTCACCCACACCATGTCTCCACGCCCCCACCTGACCTGCAACTGGCAACCCCTGTGTGTCTTTGCCTGAGGTCTTTCTTTGGCCCCCAAGCCCACCTGTCCATGGATGCACAGTGGACTGGAAGTCCAGGAGCAGCCCCTTGTCAGTGATTGATGGGAGCTGGTGGATAAATAAATACCCAGACACCCATCAAATAAAAAACAAATCCAAACTTAGTAAGTTCCTCTTGAGACACTTGAGATGCTCATGGTCTCAGCATTCATCCTATTTCAATAATGGACAGGAATTATTCAAAGGATTATTGCAGGGGAAGGGGGATGTTATCTCCCTATTATTGCAATAGGGTGAGTACTATGACCATAAGGTCTGCAAGCATCTCAAGGATTAGGCAAAGAGGGCTTCCTTTTATAAATCAGAGGAAGGTGGGAAGGGTGGGATGGTCGGGTAGTAGATTCAAGAATGCTCTACCCTGAGACCAACCTCTTTCCAGGAGGGACTCTTGAGGAGAGACTGTCCTGACTCAGGGTGAGTTGGGCCAAAGCTTAGGTCGTAGAAGGAAAGAGAGAAGCTTAAGTTTGGATAAGATGCATTTTGTTCTGATCAATCAGTGAGGACAGGCAGTTCAGCTAAAAATGTTGAGACAAATAAAGGGAATTTATGTGCCTGGCCTTGTCACAGGTAAACAAAGAGGGCATCCCTGAATCTTATCTGAGTTCTATGAGGAAAGGAGGTCCTTTGCAGTAAGCTGTTTTCCACAATGCAAAAGGGTGGAGGAGGAGGGATCTAACCCTTTGCTGTTTTCCGAGATCAAGGACTTAGGTAAAGTTTGTCATTGTCATCAGATGGGAAAACGTGGAGGTGTGTTCTCTGCATGGTTTCCCAGGTCGCAGTGGGATTAACCAGTTCCTTGCTGTGGCTGCTTTGATCCACATCCTGTGTTGGCTGCCCTCTCCCTTCCCTGTCCCACTTACTCACTTCCCTGCTGGTTTCTTGGAATCATTTCCCAAGGAACCATTTTCACTGGAATCTCTCTTAGAATATGAGGGACCTCAAGCAGAGACACTCACTAAACCTGAGGTCCTAGATGACTCAGATGACTGAAGACCAAGAGACCACCCATGATTGAAGGGTGTGCTGACCTGGGGACTTCCTGCTCTGTCCTAGGAGGGGGTCACTGCTCACAGACCAGTGGTTCCCATGGGGGAACTATGCTCAGGACCAGCATAGATCCATCTTTGGGTTTTTCAAAGGAAGCCAAGAATCCACGTTTATAATTGGAATCACCTAATTCTTAAGTATTGGCAGCTAATCAATATTTTTTGAATACTGAAATTACCAAACACAATACAACTAGGGGAGTGTTCTGACCCAAGCCTATAAGTCACTGGTCTCTGGCCCAAATGTTAAGCTCCCTAAAAGCAGATATCTCAGGCCCCTTCCTCTTTAAGACATCTTAACGTGTGAATTTGAGGACCTGCCTAAGATTAAGAGGTTGAGAAACTAGTTCAATTTTAAACCAGTGAGTGGCATAAACAAAACGGTCCTCCAAATGTTCCTTTGAGGCCTTTCCCATCATTTATTTCAAGAGGTGATTTAAAATGGCTCTGTGAATTATGGTTCATTTTGCTAGGGGTGATAATGCAGTTATGATTATCTAGGAAAATATCCTTTTTTGTAGACAACTACTAAAATTTTGGGGTAATGATGTATATTTTTACAAAATCTTTAAAAGGTAGCACAAATATAATGATAATGGTTAAATCTGGGTGATGGAAAATGAGTCGTTATTGTACATTCTCTTTAATTTTCTATGTCTCTGAAAATACTGTGTAATATAAAGTGGGAGAAAGTCTTGTGAACAAAGAAGTTCCCAAGTTCAAGGAAGGTGAGAACAGCTACCCACGCCTGGCGGTTTCTGGTGTAGGGCAACTCTAGGAGGGGAGTTGGCGACCTCAGTGTCATTCTGTGGGGCCAACTGTACATGTGGTGAGAAGGTTTCTCTGTGACCCTTTTCAGACACAGACAGCTGTGAGCGCTGGATGAGTTGCAAGAGCGAGTTCTTAAAGAAGTACATGCACAAGGTAATCAACGACCTGCCCAGCTGCCCCTGTTCCTATCCGACAGAGGTGGCCTACAGCACGGCCGACATCTTTGACCGCATCAAGCGCAAGGACTTCCGCTGGAAGGACGCCAGCGGGCCCAAGGAGAAGCTGGAGATTTACAAGCCCACAGCCCGGTACTGCATCCGCTCCATGCTGTCCCTGGAGAGCACCACGCTGGCTGCCCAGCACTGTTGCTATGGCGACAACATGCAGCTCATCACCAGGGGCAAAGGCGCGGGGACGCCCAACCTCATCAGCACCGAATTCTCAGCCGAGCTCCACTACAAGGTGGACGTCCTGCCCTGGATTATCTGCAAGGGCGACTGGAGCAGGTACAATGAGGCCCGGCCTCCCAACAACGGACAGAAGTGCACAGAGAGCCCTTCAGACGAGGACTACATCAAGCAGTTCCAGGAGGCCAGGGAGTATTAAAGAGGCTGGGATGAGGTGGAGATGCCACCTCTGGTTTGGGGATACACACACACACACGCACGCACGCACACACACACGGATCTGCTGACTGGTGGCGAGGCCTTCTTACCCGCAGATGTGTTTATTCGTATATACCACGTGAGTATTTTTCACGAATTACATTAGGAGTGTGCGCCAGACCAGTGACTGTCATGAGAAGCTGCCCCGCCTTCTACAATGCCTGCAGAGCTCCTTGGAAGTCCTCCTGGAGGCAGCGTGGGCAGGAGGATGGGGACAAAGAAGCAGAAGAAGAATCTGGAAGTCATAGTGGGCGTCTTTCAATTCACAACTGGATCCAGTGTTTCCAAGAGAAACAAAAGGGGAAAGAGACTGAGGTTGTAAACCTTATAAGCAGTTTTTATATATAACTTATTTAATGCAAATGTGACTTAAGCATAACCTTTTCTCTGGAGTCGTCATTGTAGAACTATTTAATCACTTCTGTGAGAGTTCAGAAAGAAAGGGAAGTGGAAGAGAAAGGGAATTTTGCAATGATTTCTTTAAAAACAAAGAAAGAAATGGAAATATATCAAAATAAGAAAATGCCCACCTTAAACCAAATATTATTTAGTCATAAGGCACCTTGCTAGAGTCTCAGATTGCAGAATTCTCTTGCCTCAGCCTGGGTAGGGTGTGGGATATTTTAGGGACAAGTCTGAGACCTGGTTTTAAATAGGCTTTAAAATAAAAGACCAATATTGGCATGATGCTATGAGTCTACTAAAAGGACCCAAACAGAGTTTCTGCTTGTATCTTAGTAGATTCAGGCGGCTACAGGAAGTTCAGACATAAAACAGGAAGTAGCACTTTTCCAAAGGCAAATAACCAAACAAATGGGAAGAAAATGGACCTCATTTTGTCTATTTTAATACCATTTTATCCATTTTTTTTCCTCCACCAATATATCCCAGTAAATAAATATAAGAAGGGGAGAGGGGTTCAAGTCTGGGAAATTCTAATTTTTTATGTTTTTAAAAAGGAAAAAACTGCATTATTTTTGTAAAGTATTTATTGAATCATTGGATATTGTGCATCAAACAGTTGTAATATAACCTGGTTCTGTAGGGTGGAACTTAGGAGAAATAAAGAGTTGGTTCTTATGCAATCTTTTACTTGCAAAACTCCAGGAAAAGAGAATATATAATAAAATCATAATAAATGTGTTACCTGAATTCCTTGATTTATGATATAAATGCCATAAATAGCCCTATTGAAGCAAAGCTCTGAGACGGGGAGAAGAAAGTTCAATCCAGGTGGGAATAAAAGGCTCATTGAGTGACATGATTGTGGGTGTGTAAGTCATACATCTCTGACACCAAGAGCATCTACCCAACCCCCAGAAGGCTGAGGCTCATTCATACATGAGCAACTTTTTTGCCCACTCAGACCTAAGAAAGCCAAACCAGAGCAAAGGCTTAAGATAACCCAGGTGAGCATGGCCATTTCCAGCCCAAAATTCTGCAGTTACTGTAATAAGCAGAATTACTCATGCGCAGTATTCCTTTTCCAAATGAGAAAAAAAAAGCAAATCTCAGAAAACATAAATCACATTTAGCCCACCTTTCATTTTCTAGCCCAGTGCTCCTACTTTGCCACACTTTTGGATATGTTTATATCCCTGGTATCTTTAATATTCCCGACTTCACCCTTAAGTTCTCCTGAGAAAATCCTATTCTTATGGAAAACTTTTACAAGTATTTACACATTAGAATGAATTAGCTACACTTCGGAAGATATTGTCCACTCTCAGGATATTTATATTTAAGATCTATGTCTAATTATGGAATGAGAAACCTTATTCTCATCTGAATGCATTTCATGTAACTGAACTAGTAGGAAGAGAATAAATGGGTTCAGATACCATGCAAGTGGATTTTGTTTCTAATAATGGGGGAAAGATTTTAAGAGAGGGTTGGCTGGCAATGAAATGCATTGCCGTTGAGGTGGTAAGTTCCCTGTCAGGACAGGTATTCAAGTAGACAGGAGATTATGCACATGAAAAGCTTAATTGAGCGATAAACAGAGACCAAAATGTACAGAACAAGCCCCTCTGATGAGTGTTCTATTAAGGGTTAAGTGCAAAGTACTATGGGGAGATAGAGGTGGAATCTGGGAAGTATCTGTCAGTTCAAGTGAAGGAGTGGGATTTTATAAGGTAGAAAAGAGGGAGGGGACAGTGGATGCATTTGTAGTAAGAAAATAGTATGGACAAAGACAAGGAACTAGGAAAGTGCTTGGTGTTTTCTGAAAACTGGGAGTTTAGAGTGATGCACAGAGGGACTGGACGGGAGCAGTGCATTGGCACTACAGCTAAGGTGTTTCTGTTAAGGATTTAGCACGCAGTCTCAAAGAGAACAGAGAGTTTTCATACTACAGTGAGAATGACTGATGAGAGCAATATTTCCCTTGGGCTCTTTGCCTTTTAATATCAGACTTTGCTGACTGAATGAATTGATAGTTGGAAGGGGGATGAACTGGTAGCAAGGAGGGGCTCCTGGGTTCTTTCGTCTACTGAGAACACCCTGGCCTCCCACACATCATCAGGGTGGTTCACACCTCTGGAAATTTGCTAAACTAGAATCTCCCTCTGTCAGGATGAGTTAATTTTCGTCCTAAAGCTCTTGGAGGCCAATGAGTGATCCTTAGAAATCAAGACCTCACTGCCCAGGTTCCCAGTAAGACAAGGAGATCCTTATCTCATTCAACACAGGGTTCTAAGTAGCCCTACGGCAACCCTAGGTAAGTCCCTCGGGGAGTGGTGGATCATTTTCTCAAGGGGCGACTTTGCCCGAAGCAATATGACTCCTCAATAGCTGCTCAAATGTTTCTGAGTGCACAGCTCTTTTGCTTCCCCCTGGAAAGAAAGCCCTAGCTATCCACTAGGGCTCTTGGGTGCCCCATCTGAATAAGCAAGCAGTAGCAGAGATGCCCAAGACCCTCTAGTGGCAGCACATGGGGACGGTAAAGGAAAGGCCGGGAAAGTGCATAGCATTCTCTTCAGCCCCCTGCAAGGGTAAGCCATGATCATAGTCTCTCAAGCGCCTCAGTCTTTGTATCTCAGTGGCCAAGAGCGTAGAGTTCCCCATCCTAACAGCAGGGACCAAAGATTAGTACTACACCAGCAGCCATTTTCTGAGCACACACTTGGTGCCTCTGTGCTTATCATTTTACCACAGAGGTAGGAATTATTACATCTAGTTTACAGATGAGAAAAAGAAACCAGGCAAGGTTAGCTAACTCGCCCAAAGTGATACCTCTTGGTAAATGACAGAGTTAGTTTAAGTCAGCTGTGTCTGATCGCCAAAGCCCGTCTTGAAACCTAAGCCCTGTGCACTACTCTCCTCCTAACTCTTCCTTAAGATCACTGAATCCGTTCTTTTCTGTGACTTACTGTCTTTGCTAAATTGTTCAAAAAGGATCTGGCTTTTTGTCTTTGTATTCTTCTCAGTCTCATAGTCCTTAAGAGGATTTTCTGGTTCTATAGCTAAGCCCTTGCTCAGCTTGGGAAGTAGCAGAACTCAACATTTCGTGAGGACAGCCTGCTTCCATGGACAAGAGCACTGACCTGCTTTTCCCACTGTGGTAAGCCCTATGCTGTTGCCTGCTGAGTGGACCTCAGGGTCAAGCTGTGTCTCATGCCTTCCTACACCCCCAGCTTCCAGTACTGTACCTGGCATACATCATCAGGTAATGTACAGAGGATGTTTGAGGACTTGAGGGTTCAGTCAGACTACCAGGACTCCAATCCTGACTCCCTTGCTTGCCTGCTGGGAGCCACTGGACAAGTTAATAAACCTCTCTAAGTTTCAGTTTACTCATATGGTTGTTGCAGGAATATAATGAGATAAGGTCCATAAAGTTCCTAGCACAGGGCCCATCACAAACCATGTACCATGAAGGTTGGGTACTTAGTATTTTGTCATTTGCCACATATTTACTGATCATCTACATTTGCAAGATGCCAGAGACACAGAGGCATACAAATCGAAGTCCCTCCTCTTGGAAGGTAGACAGCTGATAAACAAGTGCATAATCTGAGATTATGTAAGTGATAAAGACAAACACATTTTTTGATCACATATGTATGACATTGTATTATTTAAGATGATGTTAGTTGCTGTAATGCATAATTCTAAAAATCACAGTGACTAAATCAATAAAAGTCTAAGGGTATGTTTCCAGCTAAGTGGCCATTCCAGGAGCTCCCAGTGGGATTGAGCATCAGTCACCCATGGCAGTAACCTCCTTGGTAACACACACTTTAGTGGCTTCCTTCCCTTCCCCATCTCTTTTTCCCCTTTCCTACTGGTACTTTCTAGAATCATCTCCCAAATAAGCTACTTGCTTAGATCTTCTCTTAGAATGTACTTTTGGGGATCCCAACCCAAGACATCACTTCACACTTCAATACTCATTAAGTTCTATTCAAGCATAAACTTATCATTGTCATCATGTACATCTGAAGATGAGGTCTTGCTGTAGGTGACAGATCTACCAAAAAAGAAAAGTCAACTTCATTCTGACCATAGATAGACACTCTACTGGATTTTAATGCCATTCATTGAGTTTTTATGAAACAAAAATAAACCCCAGTTTTTATTATTTGATTAAATGGGCAGACAATTACCCCAACAAATACCTCTAAAAGTTTTTAACACTTGTTCTTAATTTTAGAAGTAATTTTCCTGCCGACTATAGACTAACACTGCTCAAACCAACTGAGCAACAGTGATCAGAACCACCACATGTACCAATTCTGTCCTGAAATACAAAGACATAAATATATAGAGCTTCCCAGGAAGTGTGTGTGGGGAGGGGATTAGGGTGGAGTTCTCTCTTTGTTATCCATTTACAATTTCCAATGGAAAAATGTGTGGGTCGTCACCATTATGCCTGCACAATTTCAGACAAATTAAAGGCTTGCCTCAGTAATTACTGGGTGGGTATATACAGAAACATACATCCATGTGTCCAGGTCCTGCATACAGTAGTGTAAATTAAGGCAGAAAATTTACAGCCAGTTGCTTTTCTGAAGTTTAGTATTGGTTTACAGTATGAGATTAGAAGAACAGGGACATTTTCTAGGATCAGAAGGTAAGATTTTTAAGGAACAAATTGATGAGACCAGCAGTTTCTTGTTGAATATCACCAGCAAAACAAAGCTTAGATACAGATTTTTTTTTAGAACCCTGTGTGTAGAGATTTGGAAAGTCAATATACAAAGACCAGCATCTTGCCTATAATGACCAAAAAAAAAAAATTATCGTTAAATCACTTTAGCAGCAAGGGAATGGGCAAGAGACTGAGTTGAGACACAGCTGCAATAGCAAAGCTGGGTAAGAATTTTATGACTTTGCTAATTTTCTATCTGTTCTGGGAGTAATAAATATGCCCTTATAGATATTCATGATTGCCCTTAAAATGAAGAAAAAAAAAATTTTAAATGGCAAAGAAAACGCCTTTCATTCTTGAAGCATG